ATTCATATTCTGTAGATCTCTGAAGTGTTTGAAGATGACCTGTCTACCTAAAACATATCTGTTTGACCCTGAAAGCATACCTAACATGACTACAAGTTTAATTGTAATAGGTTGCTAACTACTAACCTGCATTTCCTTATTATCCTAAATAGTTTGTAATAATAACTTTCAAGGACTAGAAATTTGTATTACATTTGTTAAATGAGCTATATAGGTACAATACCTTGAACAAGAGTAGGAATGTATGTACAGTATGTTCTAAGAAAAATAAACTCAAATTTGTATCAATATACAAAAATCCATATCAATGTAAAAATCTTTAAAACTAGTTGTTGCTTTTTTGGTTTAAGAGTAGATTCAATATACCTTTTATCCTATCATATCTATTTCCCCCTTTTTATTTTCAGAGTAGATTCAATAAGCTACCCTTTTATCCTATCATTTCTATATTACCCTTTTTTCTTTTCAAAACTAGAACACTGAATCTAATCTCTTTTGTTCAGCTTTTTTCCTGACCATTACCAATAACAACTTGTAATCAACCACTCTAAACAATGACAAATATCTATAACCCACTGAACAATCAAAAACCACCCAGCCCACCTCTTGGGAATACACTACGAACCACAGAAATATGAAGTAGGATTTTAGCTGATTATGACAAGCTAATACCTAAAACAAGCTAAGGGCATTCCAGGGAATAAAGCCAAGGCTCAAGGAGTCTTGGTGATATTGGCTCTTGTATATTAAATGTTTTCCTGCAATGAATTTCTTATGTGCTGTGGTAGCTTCTACATTCTATTCTTTTTCTAAGAACAGTGTGTTTGATCATTCATTGGGCACAATTTCCCCATTACTATTGGAATGATTGGACAACCTTCTTCCAACTGTGCTAAAAACAGACACAATCAAGACCCTAATTTCAGGCCTTTCTGTACCTATCTTCATTAGCAGCACCACCCAGGACCACCTCTGGACAGACAAAAGTATTTTATCTGAGAAATTTTCCAGACTGTTTAAGAACCGACTATCTGTCAGAGAAGGTAAAGATTTATACTGGCAATTGCCCATGCCAGGCAAATGTGCTAATTAAGCTTAACCTTTCCCTTTCTAAAGTCTTATCTCTAGTTTTAGATCTATCTTTAACAATTAACTCAGAACTAAAGGGTTTCTACTTACAGATACATCAAGCTGTGACTCAGGTTGCCCAGTCACCGAGTACACTCCTTCGAGCTGCCAGAAAATGGCGGCAGCCAACATAGCTTGGACAGATAAGGAGCCAAAAGAAAATAAGACAGTTTTATTTTCACTCATCACTGATAGACTCCTAACACTTTATCTAACCACTTCTAAGTCTATAGTTTGAGCACATAAATCCCCTTTCTCAGATCTTTTGACCGGATTTAGCCCTCAGTTGATTCATTCCCCACTATCCACTTCCCTTTTGGGTTGCAGGTGATGGCTGACAATTACTGCTCTCTTGTGTGGATCTTATTGCCCCTCCTTTTGACCCTTTGGAATTTCAAGGGTGGTGGCCTTGCTTTAGCCAGAGCATTGCGACTGCATGGGTATATAACTGTAAACCTCAGAGACTTGAGGAGAACTAGAGTGGAGGACTAGACTGAGGACTAGAGAACAAGATGGAGGGTGAGGAAGAGCAAGAGCAGGAGGAAAAAGATGAGAAGGAAGGATATGGGAGAAAAGCTAAGATAGGAAAGAACGAGACAGGAGAGGAGCTAAGAAGGGAAAAAACTAGATCAATAAGAACCTAGATGGGGCAGAACTAGATGAAGAAACTAAGATGGCACTTAAGGGGAACAGCAAAAAAATGTAGAGAGAAATCAGGCAAGAAAGGAGCTAAATTAGAAAGCAGAATAGAGCTGTGTAGAGAGAGAACTGACACAGAAGAATAAAGTGTAG